AGGAAAGGCACAGGGCCAACACCTCTGCTGGGCCAGTGCCTGGACACAGCTGGGGCAGAGCTGCTGTGCCTGGTGAGCAACCAGAGGAAAGCCTGAGTTTTTAATGTCCTGGTGAGGAGGTGACCAAGGTTAATTGCTGCAGATGCAGACTTGGGCTCCCCATGCTGGGAATTGCAGAATAAAACTCACCATGAATGGCCTGGGCACTTTTCAAAGTGTACTTCATTAGGTTTCAATTACAAAGCTCAACTAGAGGAGCACAGAACAAGCAGTGGTGGGTATTTCTCCTGCTCTGAGGCATTTCTTTCTCTCCCACACTGTCCCATATACCCAGTCACCATGACCTGGGCTGTGCTTCCTACACTGCAGGATGAGTGCAGCAGGGCCAGGGGAGGAAAAGGCAGGAACCCCCTCAGGCTCTGACTCCAGATTTTTACAACCCCAGGCAAGTATGTAAAGGACACTTAGTCATAGTGATTCATGCAGCACATCATTCTGATGCCACACTCTCCTCCATCCACCCAGATCACACTTTTCAAATCCTAACAGAGTTTCTTTACTTTTTTTCCCTAGATGTCTGACACACTGCAGACTATTTTAAAGATAACTAAAAAACAAGCTAGCAAGGATAGTTAAATTTGCTGTACAGTGGTCTGCACCTTCATAAGAGATATTGCAGGGGAAGGAAAGTAGTCCAGGGGTTTCCACAAATCAAAATGGATAGAGGATATACCAATTCCTGTAGGAATCACAACACAGACTTCAAAAATCTAAATGCCACCACTAGAAAATGGATGTCTATTTGTGGCCAAGCTTGAGTTGTAATTTCAGCAATAAAAGCCCTTGATTAGTGCAAGCCTTTATTTTCTGATTGTCTCAAGTGATTAATGATTTCAACCTCAAAGCCTTATAGTGGTTCAGCCTCAAAGAACATAAAAATAATTGCATGTTACTGGACATATCAAAGCTGTGGATAAAGTATTTTGCACCAGGTTCTTCTAGCCTGATTTCAGGGTTTTACAGACCCTTGAAATGAGTTTTCCAAATCTGTTAAGTCAGTTGAAAATGGCAATAGGCTTCAAATAAAAAGTGTAGAAATATTATGCTCATCCCATACCTGAAAGGTAAAATACCTTCAGGTGGTTGCTGCCTAAACTACCCTGAAAAAAAAAAAAATCAGGGCATTTTATAGAAGGAAAAAGATCCTTTATTGACAAGTTGAGCTTGGTACAAAGTATAATTTAAATAGACGTAGCAGCTGCTCCTGGACTTACTGGAGTATTAGAGCCTTTCACCAACAAGTATTCAGGCTCTGAATAGCAATAACAAGAACACAAATTTGAATGAGACTCAGCTTCAGCTCCCACGTCTAAAACACAAGGAGGCTGGCATCAAAATGTGGCAAATTAGAGTGCAGACACCTGGTCCTGAAAAGTCATACAGAAAACTTAGTTTATACTGCCTTATTTCTCATCAAAATAATTTGGAGGCTTGAACATGAAACAGATTTGTGAATTCACTAGGGAGCCAGAGAGAGTCATCACATAGTAATGGAAAGGCAGATTTTTTTATTGATTCAAATTAAGGGTAATTTATTGAAAAAAAAGCCACAATTTGCATGAAAGACGTTGCTGAAAGACGCAGCAGCCTAAGTGTGTTTTGATCTATTTGACTCACACACACAGAGCCCGGTGGGTGCAGAGAGCTCTGCAGTCACTGCCTCAGCATCCAGCAAGAGAAAACCTACTGGTGCTGAGCCTTTGCTCTGAGACAGCTCAAGCCTTTGGCACTTCAAGTTTCTCCCCTCTTTAATTCTATCACGAGCAGTTGGTCATTCTTATCCTCTCTGACCCTTCCAAGTGATGAAATCTAATTGTCCTCTGGCTTCAGTAGGTCTCAGGACCCCCAGTCAGTGGATTTTGTCCTTAAAGCATGAGGAGCCTTTGTTGCACAGCTCTTGGAAACAGAGCAAACCTGAACTATCCCAGGGAGATCAGGTCACCACAGGGGACAGCTGAGTGTAGGTCTCAGACCTAAAAACACTGGTGTTGTCTACATCACAACCACTTGCCCAGGGAAGCCTATTGCTCCATGGGGAAGCTGCTCAGTTCTTCCAGGTTTGGCATTTCTCAAACATAGATCGAATCTTCGCTGATAAAACTGGACAAGCTGTGATATTAGAGAAATTCCAGCAGTCCTGGAGCAACTCTGGGGCACTTGTACACATTTCCTAAACTAAATGCCTCATCTTCTTTTAATTGCCAGATTCCCTACAGCCAGAGTTACAGGGACAGGCTACTAATCCCAGAGTTTAAGTGGAGTGGGACCCAATGGGCACTGCCCAGGGCATGGTGACATTCCCGAGGCTGCCAGGGATGCTCAGGGTGGGGGTGTTGGGGTGTCTGTGCAGGGCTGGGGGCTGCCCTGGCTGATCCTGGGGGTCCCTCCCAGCTCAGGAATATTCTGATTGTTTCCTCATCCTCCTGAGCTATGGCAAGGAATGAGACTCCCATGTGATCCTAACCCCATCAACCCCATCTGGGACACTGGATTCCCTTCCCCAGCTCCTGAGACAACCACGCTGTTTCTTCTGGAGCTCCTCACTCCAAAGCTTCCATGTTGATGAGGAAATCTGGGAAGAGCCAAGTGTAAAACACCAAGAGAGAGACAGAGACACTTCCCTGCCTTCCCACATCCCTCGCTGCTGTCCCTGTGTCACACCTCAGCCAGGTTATCAGCCATGGAATTAATCTCTGTGAACAGGCTCACACATTATTGATCTCTGTGTGCTAAATTTTCCCAAGGGATTTAAGCCAGTTTCCAGCTGCGTGAGCTCCCTTGGAACGCTTGGGGATTTGAGAGAAGCAATTTCTCTCCCCCAGCCACAGAGTGGCTCCTTTAACACATTCCCACATTTGCATTTTTCCATTTGCATATGCACAGTTTAATGCCAGAGCAGCACGTAAACAGGACTGTTAGTTTTATGAAAATCCGACTTTTAGGGGGAATTGCTTTGTGCAAAACAATAGTAAAAAGCAGGATCCAAAGTAAATCTTACAGTGAAGGGAGAAAAACCCACTTATTACAAGACTAGGAAAACTGCATGAAATGCTGAGGAGTCTCTTACAAAGGCAAATTATCCCACGGCATGGATGGCAAAGGGATCATTTACATTCCCAGTTCGTAAAAAGCAGTGATTAATACAGCTAGAGAAAATGTAAAATTTAATGAGTAACTGAAGTGTTCAAACAAACTGCCAGTTTAATAAAGCAGAATGACAGGGCCAAAGTGTTGGGAATAAAATCCCAAGGTTCTGTTAGCAGAGAGAAAATTCATGGATGGAGTGAGAAAAAGAAAAGGTGATTTAACATCAAAGGAAATAATTACTCTTCATCTAAATAAAAATTAGAATGAGCATTTATATTGTCTTTTCTTCCCCTCTGAATGTCTCCAAAACTCTCATTTATTTTAGTTTACATACTTAGCTAATTAAAGCTCTAAAATAATATAAATTTTTATGGGCCATTTTTGGAGAAAACCAGCATAACTAAAAACAGGACCAGGCACTTTGAATATTGCATCAAGGTTCTATTAGCTTTCATGGTGCAATATTTTTTTTTTTTAAACTGCCTCCTGCTGAACTAATGGCGATCTTATTTTTAAGCAATTTTTAAAAATTATACACGGATTGCAGACTTTCATTCTTAATGGCTTGAATTTAGCAATAAAACCTGCATTGAAGTTGGCAAAGAAAATACTGTACCAACGTCTTGACTGATGCAAAGGGGAAACCTTCCTGATGTTGTGCTGTTGGTGTGAGCTCTGCTTGCAGGGTGCTTGACCTCTGCAGCTCCAGCCCTGCAAATCCACTTCATCCAGCTCATCTCCTGGCTCTCCAATGTTGGCTCTGCAGGCCAAACCTGCACTTTATTTTTATTTTTTTTTTTTTTTTGACCCATTTCTGGAAACTGAGCCACACAAACCCAACGTGAGCAGCTTGTGATGAAGGGCCAGGGAAGCCCAGGTGCTGCTGGGCAAGGCTGACCACAACTCTTCACTGAAAGCTTTTCACTCCTCACAATGTGCAGCTGAAATGTCTGTGAAGAAGACAGTCCACCTCCCTCCAGAAGTATTACTTTACTCAGACATTTCTCACAACTGAATCTTCCTTTCCCAACAACATCCACCTACTAGGTACAGGCTATGCAATATGGTCACAAATAGATCCATGGAGAGCTGCTATTTATAACTTGCATTTTGCAGCTCCAAATATTCATCCATTAGAGTGAGAGTGGTGAGATCTACATTGTAAAAGTCATGATGCCCTCTGAAAACATGCCCATCATGGGTACAACCTGACCCCAAAATGCTGAGGTGAACAGATGCAAGACAAGGCAGAATTAAGATTCTCTAGGAGCCTTTTTGGAAAGTACCACTCTGCATTCATGCTGCACTGTCATCATAACCTCAGGATCCCTCCTACAATTAGGAGCTCCTCTGTGAGGATGCAGCCAGGCATTTTCATTCCAGATATGTTTATCATGTTGGAAGTATGGCACAATGAGTACTGTGAGAGGGAACAGAAGTAGTGGAAGTACAAGAGCATAGCTGACACAAAGTCATTATTGCACAGACTCTCATGTCTGCATGACCTGCTGCTCACAGAACTCATTTGCAGAGAGAGGACTCTTCCCACTCTCACAGCGAAGAATGGCTTCATTTCAGACTCTGGGAGGTTTGTGGGCTTTTTGTTCACCCTTTTTCACTCCCTTGTACAGTTACTTTTATTTTTACTGTCACATCAGCAAAAATCAATGAACTGAGAACACAGCTGCTAGAAACACTTGTTAGAGACACTTGGATACAACTCAAGGTCCCCCACAGAGACTCTCCCTTTGCAGTGTCTGTAACACCCAAAAAAGGCTAAGGAAATGGCAGCATTTCCAGGGACAAACCAGGAAAAAAATAAAGGAAGAAAAGGCAGTTTTAGTGAAGAGACCTTGAGATTAGCTCAGCTGGTCAGAGCCTGGTGCTAAGAACACCACGGCTGGTGGTTCAACCCCAGCCATTCACTTAAGACTTGGACTCGATGATCCTTGTGGGTCTCTTGCAACTCAGATTATTCTGTGACTGTAAAACTGATGATCAAACTCCAAGTCTGTTGTAATTAGATGTCTACCATCATAATATTTAGAACTTGGGTGTAAGTGCACCCAAAAATTCAACAGCCCAGGCAGTTCTTGCAGTGTGTGTGTGTCCTGAATAAAAGGGATGACCCCGGACATCTCTCTAGAAGCCAAACCCAAGTCAGATTTGCATAGATATCTGCAAAGAGATTTGGCTTCTTGAACTACAAAACTTATCTAGCCATCACTTCAGCTTCCAAAGTTTGAAAAGAAGGCAGGAACCCAGCGTCTCTTCTGTGGTCATCTCTTGTCCCTGCCTCAGACATGTGACATTGGCTCCTGATTACAGCAGGTTCTTGGCAGTGACATTCATTTTAATTTAATATCACAAGGCTGCATTGATGCCTAGCAAGAGTCCCAAACCACTGAAGCTTATTTCCCTCTAGGGACTTGGGCATGAAAAGGAAAAGCTGCTGAACAGAAGGCAACATATCTTTCTCTACATTTATATCCAGAGACATATCTGCCTGCAATGGCAAGTAGGAAAAACAAGTGTCACCTCAGAGAAGAGCTCTGTCACCTCATCTGTTACCTTCCTCAGAAAAACAATGGCTCTCTGAGGGGCAGACAAGGCTGAATGGGTTATACCAGATTGTTTTCAGCTGCAGGCAATATTTATAATCACTAATTTATATGCAGAAATATTTGTAAACAGTAAATTTAGAGACTGCCACATTGGTAAAAGCTGCACAAGCCGTGTCACAGAGTGTTCTGCCCAAATCCTGCATCCTTTTAGGCGAGAACAGGATGCAGAGAAAAGTGGTCCTCCCATAAATTATTAGTTATCCTTTATCATTATGAATTCTCAGAAACATCATCAGTAGGAGCCATCATATCTTCTGAAGGCAAGTAAATGAAAAATAAAATGCATCTCTATCTTCTGAAATGCCACCTCTTCCAACAGTTCCTATGGAGCATGAAAACTAATTCAAAGCTGTCCATTGCTTTGACTGTGATTTGATTTCCCTCTGTTCACTTGGGGAGAGGGTAAGAAACATGCACTGCACATGATGCCAGCACCTGGGTGCTGTATTTTGCTGGGGAGACTCAGAGCAAGCAGGGATCCTAAAGGGATCAGTGTCATCCAGCAGGAACACTTCACTCCCTAAGAGCTGCTGTTGGTTTTCTCATCTACACTGACACAGCTCAGAAGTTCAGAGAAGACCTGTAATAGTCTGGTGAGGACTCTGAGATCTCCTGACAGATGGAAATCCTGCCAATGTCATCCAGGACTCAGCCTGTTCAGCACAGTCATACAGAGATCAGCAAACTCAAACCACAATCTCTTACCCACCTGCAAACAGCCTGGCAGGAGTGTCAAATCACTGCTGCCCAGGTCTGTACAATAAATGCTACTATTGGTATAAAAAAGTGGCTTTCTCCAAAAAGCAAGTGCTATCACTCCTGAAAGACCCACTACTGTGCACAGCAACAATTGGAGAGTTATTTTCTTTCTGTGCTTGTCTAATTTCAGACAACACTGAAACATCAGTGTGGAACTGCAAACATAACAGACGCACGTTCAGCCTCGGCAGGTTTCAAATTGTCTTCCAAAACTCTTCTAGGTTTATCTTATGCTTAATTGATTAATCACAGACAAGACTTCCACGAGCAGTGTGTGCCCCCAGCACATCATTAAAGATTATGTTCACAGATACTCTGTTTAGACAGCACTGTGTTAAATCCCAGCAAATAACTTGGCCACTGAGATGTGCATGGAGCCCATGAGGAGAGAAGCTGCTAAAACAATTATGTGATGACGTGAAAAAGCAGTGGGTAAACTGCTTGAGTCTTCTTGGGCACGAAGGCTTCACTAGGGCTTCCTCTTCATCAGATTTGCTAGGGAAAAAAAGAGCCACTGCTACCATGTTTCCTGTGGACACACACATTTAGAGAGCTGGGGAATTACAGCTTAGAAATCCTTTTCAGGCCTGGATTTCTCCTGACTCTCAGCTCCATTCCCAGGCTGACAAGCTGACTGCAGCTTCAGTTAGGGAGTCAGTCTCCCAGAGTGATAACTTGGTGAAAAACAGAGTGGAATTCAGAATAAAGATTAACACCTGGTGTCTTTCCCGTGGGATACATCCTGAGGTGCTGTCCCAGGGATGTTTTTCCCAATTGTCCAATGAGCTCCTGTCCTGTCCTAGCTGCATGTAACACACTTTAAATACGGGCTGTCTGTACAATAAAGTTAGCCTTTTTTCCCCCAAAAAAGTCCATATGTGTTACTATCTTTTTTCTCTCTTTACAACGCAGTAACCACAGTTTCCCTATTAGAAATGTCAGATACACTGCCATAGTTTTTCTCTCACACCACTGATGAGCTCAGGGTACAGGAAAACACCAAGATCTCCATGCAGCAGGTGGAACTGCAGCTCATCGATTGTCATCGTTCCCCTGAAAACTCCTAGCAAACCACTGTAGCTGCAGGGAACCTCTCATGGTCCAGAAAGGCTCTTCCAAAGTCCCACAAAGTGCAGTCTTTATTTCAACCTGTCAGCAAAGCAGCCAGAAATAAATGTCCCTCTGCTGCCAATGCTGGGATTACACAAACTAGTAGCAGGTAACAAGGGATTTCCTCAAAAGTCTTTCAAAAGCAGCTTTCTTGGTACTTATTACTATGACAGAGGAAAAGGAGAGTCTAAAAAACTCAGCTGACAGCATGGCAGACCTTGGCCTCAGGCAAAGCAGAACAAACTCCCCTCCTTCCCAAGTCATGCAATTTATAGCCCAGGGCTGTGTCTCATTACTCCTGCCCAAGCCAAGGCTGCTACCACCTCAGTGTCACTCCACACACTGGCCCCTTGCTGGCAACTCCTCTGAAAGCTGAAGCCATGGGTTTATCTAGCTGGAAACCTGCTCTCTACTGTAGAGAGAGGTTTGGAAAGAAGAAAGAATGTTTCTGGAATGAGGGGTATTACAGGACATATTTTATAAAATATAACAAGAGACAAAGATTGGAGTGTGAGGGAAAAGACTGAGTTGCATGCACCAAGCAGCAGTGATTGCTCAGCAGCAATATGGATGAGCTCACAAAGTTCATCCATAATAAGGATGCTGGATCGGTGAGGATGTAGCTTTTGTCTGGATAACCTGAATAATTTCTAATTTGTCTGTGGCCTAAATAAGAAAATGGCAAGTTAATAATGCTGTATATGCATTTTTTCCTCTTTAAATTTAGTGCAAGTTCAACACTGTCACAGAGACAAAGTTAAATAACTCAGAAAAACCTTTCAGCTCAGTGGAAAAAGGAACTTATCAAGCACTAAAAGGAAAAATATTCTAGACAGTAACATACAGGAGTTCTGTATGCATGACTTGTGTTTGGGTTTCTCTTCTCCAGTAGACAAACTAATAATGACTGGACAACCACAAAGCTCTTGTGCTCTGTGCAAAAGAAAATACACAAATAAATTCCACCACTTCCCATCACTCTGCTGCCAGGACTGCAGCCATGGGAAGAGCTGGACCATCACCCTCACATGGGACCTGGCCTGGGCAGGGGCTCATGGAGCAGGAAAACCTTGAGCTTGCCCTGCAGTTTGGGGAACCACATTCCTGACCCTTGAAAAGCACCAAGTGTGAGCCTTAGGGAAAATCACTCATTCTAAAAGACAACATAAATCTGGATAGAAGCACCTTTTGCTGTTTCAGCAGGGGGAAGTTGTTTTGCCTTATTTTATCATTATATATTTTTTAACTTGTGTTCTCTCTCCAGGATATGGGCCTTGTGGAAACATTTTAAGGACATCAGCAATAGCCTTGTTTTCTTGATTCCTTCCTGTGAACCTTAGAATTGGCCCATGAAAGCTCAGGGCTTAATGAATCATTTCCATCAGCAGAAGGGTTTCAGACCTGAAATTCAGAGTGACCCTGACCTGGGAACATTTCAACACAAAATACAAAAACTGTCAGACATGTTCAATCTTCCAGGGGTGAGCCTCAGTTGTAAGAAAGGGTTCCTAGAATTTTCACTGGTGAACTGATTTTGGATTTGTTTTGAATGAAGTTTCACTAATGTTAAAAGACCAAAATATTCCTGAAATGGGAATTAAATTCTGTCAAGACGTGACCAGACCTTCCTTGAAGATTTCTGAAACAGAATATCCTTCATTGCCTCAGGACAGTGTCTTCAAAGCATCTTCTTTCTTCCAGCTCCAGAAGAGAGGAGAGAGGAGCTCCATCCAAGAGGACACCACATTTACAAGACACGGGCTGGGTTCTCCTTCCTGTCAGACTGCAGCTCCTGCAGCTCTTTGATCACCACCTGGTCCTCACCCCTGCTGGCCTTGTCATTCATCCAAGCCCCCTTGTACACAGCCAAGGGGGTACATCTTTGCCCAAGCTGGGTATCTTTCTCCTAAAGCTCCTCATTGGATGATTGGGAAAACAAAACAGGGCTGGCTGACACTGCTACGCTCTCAAATTCTGATTTCAAGGTGATTTGTGCTCCCTTCCTCCTTGGTTTGGCAGGGGAAACCAGAACCTCTGTTTGTGCTTGAGGCCAAACAAGGAATTAAGTCACCCAGCAGTGTGTGCTCTGGAGTGTAGGAATGTCAGGGGCACAATCCATTTCATGGCTCCATGAAGCTGATTGAAACGATTACACAGCAAGCCAGGGGCTCTTCTCCTCTGAGACTCCCCAGCTGCCTGTGCTTCTTAAGAACAATTATTACTGCAGGTGACTTCGGATTGCAGCTGGTTCAATCTTATCAGGGCGTTTCAGACATTTTAGGCTAGGAGACTAAAGTTAATTGCACCAAGTATGGCACAAAGGGAGCAATTTGAAGGAAGTTATCTTCCAATGACAGGGAAGAGTTGGTGAACAGGTTAGTGAATGGTCCTGATCCTTCTCCAGTGGTGGAAAAGTAAAGAACTGAAGAATGTA